TTATTTCAAAATTGAAGTTATCATATGACAAATATTCAGTGGACAAAGTTTGAACAAAAATCTATTGTCACTTTTATTTCAGAGGAATTACCTTAAGAGACCTTAGTACCACCAGTTTTACTAAGTGTGACTAGTTACTCTAAGCAACATGGCTCTGCTGTGATAGTTCTGGGTTAAATCAATCTGTTTTCAATGCCTTGTAGGACAGGGGATCAAGCATTCCTCAAGGTGACCAGGAAAAGTGCAATTACTCCACTTCAACCCAACAAGATTCCTTCAGAAGACCGAGTTTTCAAGATTTCACCCCTTTTGACAGAGAAGATGCTGTCAACAGACTGCGTAGAACAACTTTCCAACTAGGTGACAGGCGTGTCCCTGGACACTTGAAGACCACGGCCGCAGAATCCTATCCTTCACGTTTAATGTCAGGTGAGTTGACATTATATTTTATATCTTCCTTGATCCAGAGTCCAATTTTTTAAAACTTTTCTAGAATTTTTACAATTTATAAACAAAGGTGAAAACTTAATATTACTAGAAGAAAGTATATTGCTTGGTACATGTAGCTCTCACAGTTGGCCTCACTTTAGGTTTTCATTCATACACTCAGTAGTTATACTCATTTAATTACTCCATGTTTGGCTTGGGAAAAAAAACTGTTTGAGTTTGTGAGTGTGAAATTATTCAGAGGTTTTGCTTGCCATTGATTTATGTTTGGTCAAATGATGAAGCATTCATTGCGCTTTTGCCTCCTCTTTGAACAAATATAAACTTTGCAGAACTTTTTAAATTGTGATTATGGAGTACGTTACCATCATTTTGTTGTAGACAAGAGTATTTCTGCCAACCTTGACATGGGAAAGAGCAGCTTTCCTGAGGGAGACATGGATCCATTACGAGCTCATGAGAGAGTCAGTGTGACAACAAATGACATCTTCTTTGGGAACCCTACCACCGGATTTAGAAATAAAATAGTGGATGGTTCTCATCTGAGAACTGAATCACATGTGGATCTGGGAGCAGCAAGGGGAGCACGCTTTTATGACACTTCAATGAAGTCGGACTTCAAAGCGGTATCAGCACCATACAAAAAAGCTGCATCAGGATTGACCACAAATAGCAGCATCCCATTGGACTATTACAGTAAGTAGAAGATGTGAATTCTGACTGTTATTTTTCACGTCACAGATGGTTACAGCCAATCATGACCAGCCTCACTAAACCTTAAAATCCTGGTTACAGTATCGGTCAAAGAGATTGCAGCATTACACATGTGTAAAGTGCATTTACTACATGCATGTTGCATGCAGTGACCACGCACTTTACATGCACCAAACATGCAAATGTGTGTAACCGATTATATTGAAAGTTGCGTGTTTCGAATACAAGTTAGCAGTGGCTTTTTGTTTTGCAGAATACATGCAAATGCGTGCATGAATAACAAAGCATTTCTTCCTCCAATTTAAGATGGCGGAACACAGTTTTCAAGTGCCTATGCCTAATTCACCATTACCTTTAAACTATTTATGCTTTGGTGCCCGTTTTTTGCAAGAGTCGATTCTCTCCTCAACAAGGACAACCTCTTGTAGAACCTTGCTTTCTACAGGTCGAGCAAGCGCTTTTACAATGAAATGGGTCTGGTTCCTAAATTTAGAAAGGGTAGAAGATGTAGAACGAAATTAGAAAAGCAAAATATCCAACTGAAAGCAGAAATGACCAATTACTCGTGTTTCTCACCTCCGCGGATTCTTCGACTTCGAAGGTATTCTTGACCTTTGGCTTTCCCTGGCCACGTCCATCGGTACATTCTCCCTGGTATCAATGAAATAACTGTTCTTCTAATATGACACAGATATAAGCACTATTTTGACTTGGAAATACGTCGAATTGACAAGGTTTGCCTGGATGCGCTTCTCAATTTATTTTCCACGCGCGCTTCTTGTGATGAAGTGTGATGTGGAAATTAGCTGTAAAATGGTATCTAATGTGCATGTGCACCAGCTGACTGTGTCCCTTTAACCACAGAAGGGTTTATTCTCACATTTTGGCTAAGGTGTGTGCTGTTGCCATGGCAACAGGGCTGCTTGAAAACAAGGCTTAAAAAATGGTTTTTGTTTATTTAAAAAAAATCCAGTCGTTAGATTTTTTTCATCATTTTCCCCACTACAAAATGACATTAAATCCCTTCTGTCAACACTGTTCTAATAAAATTTTGACACAGACGATTTTTGTAATTTGCCATAAATCGTTTTCTGTATTATTAAAAATTCCCTATGTCAAAATTCAGATTTTCTGTGATAGGTCATTCACGTGGTTTCTGAACTATTTTTTTGCCAAATTTCTTGAAATTCTAACGACTAGATCGTTAGAAATCTGCAAGTTTCTGTAAAAGCAATCGGTCTCAATTTTTTGAGCAACTGCACATGCTCTGCATTTAACTGGGTTCTTTCGGTAACAAAGAAAAAGCTGAGAATCGCTGGGTTCTTTGCATCATTACCTTTTCTAACATATCTTTGTAATAAAAGACTGAAGCCATCAATACACTGTGTTCAGTTATAGAGAAAAATAGCACAGATTGTGCGGATGTTAAGTAAATAAAATGATCGCTCTATTGACAGCATGTTTGTTTTTTGCAGTCCTTGTGCATGCGCTGAATTGCATCAGCAAAAGCGTGCGCGAAAAATGTGTTCGGCCACCTTAAATACATGCATACTCATGAAATCACATGCAAATGCATGTCACTACAAGAACAGTAACTTTTACACATGTGCATGTAGGTGCTGGAATCCCTTTGACTAGTTAGTACTGTAAGTTGAAATGTTACCAGTTGCAAAGCACTACCAGCTAATGATTACGAATGAGTATAATATTTTGGTCTTGTTCTTTTATTTAGGTGGTGCACCTGTTACCGTGCCAACAAGCTGGAGTGATTTCCCATCACATGCTGGTGTTCCCAAACTCATCCCCAATCCCCTAGCTGTTGATAATGTAAGTTTAGAGTTTACAATATTATTATTTTTATTTAACGAATGGTTCCAAGGTTTGCAATAACCTGTCTACTCTTTCAACAGCTTAAAAAGTCGCATATAAAACCTCCAATTCCAGAGGAAAGAGAATTCAGCACAACACACCAAAGAACATACACACCAAAGAGGACTTCAAGAAGAAACGTTGATCCTGGCAGCTTACAGCGCAGCTCTGTTCCACTTGGAACCTTAAATGCCTATATTTGAGACAAGTTCTTGTGGTTTATTATTTTGTAATAAATGCATGTACATGTACAGTGTAAAATACTTGATGTGTTTATGTTACAATTTAAGTTGTCTATACCTAGCTAGGTAAGGTATTTATCTACACCAAAAACAATTAACTGTCTGTAGATTATTATAAAAAGCACCTGTAATTTTATCATTAAGTTCTGTAGCACTGATGCAACGTTGCATTGCACTTACCTTTACACGCAAAGAAAGCTTGTAACAGTCTGTAAAGATAACATGTTAGTAGGCCTGCATATGTATTGTGCAGTAGAGTCCCACTTTGAAAAATAAAATGTCATTCTATTCCATATAAATAACAATATGAAGTGTCACACTCTTTGTTAGCAAAGTGTGTGTGTTTTTAGTGTTCTCTTAGAACAAAACCATTGTGTAATGAACCATTAAGATGATAAAAATATAAACATGACATGCTCAGCATCCAGCCTTTGCATGGAATAAATACATGTACATATGTCAAGTTGGATGTGAAAAAAAGATGAGAAAGCATAAAAGAACCAAGAAGATAAACTAAGGGGCAATGCTCACATCAGCAGCCACTGCTAAGCTGTGAGTTGAATATTGCTACATGTACATGCATCTTGCAGTCCATATGTTCCATTGATTAAAAGGCTGTGCTTTGCTTATTAAGCTTGTCTGATTGGTGGCCTGAATACTCTCGACTATTACTAGCCATCTGGGGTGACTACGCAGTAAAAATCTAGGTACTAAGAAGCTTAATTCAGCTTTCAAGTGATCAAGAAAACAGACTGAGACTTATTTACAAATATATTTAATTTTGATCAAAGCAAACTTTCATACCCTAGGATTTTGAGTGCCCATTTACACTTGCACTTTGGCTGTCGCAAACAGAAGTCAATAACATTTTCTTTCGATTACAGTAGTTGAAATATTAACAGAAGTAAACAGCAGTGCTTAAGCTCATACCTGGACAAATATAAACCATGCAATATTTTTCAACTAACACACCAACTTAACACAGTTACTCAACAGACTTGCTCACAATTTGAGTAAACATCATCAAAAAACACATGTCAAAGACTTTTCTCATTATTTCTCACAGAACACAGAAAAGAACTCCTACAAGTACATCCAAAATGTTTCTCTTGTATCTGGAAGCACTAATTCCAAGCTATTGTTAGAGCTTTTCAACTTGAACAGGCATAGGTGTAACCCATTTGTCTGTGTGGTACACGCTCTCTCCAACTTTCCAATCAGGAACATCCTTCATGATTTGTGCTTCAAGCTCTTCGTTTTCTTTTAGTAAACGCAAACAGCTATAAGGAGAAAGAATGATGATTACACCAAAATGCAACTTTAATAAGCAGGGCAGTTATTACTCCAATGTTGGGTTCGTTGATACAATTACTGGTACATTATCATCATAACCAAATGTTCCAGAACTTTGGATTTCGAGCATGGTGTTAGTCAGTGACCCAGGCCTGCAGATGGGTTAGATGCTCTACCACTAAGCTACATGAGACTAATGGGAACCAATGTCGCTAGGTAACCAGGTTCAAATCTGATACATTTTCCACAAACTGCTAGCATTTGACAAAGCTAGGTTTGACAGAGACAAGATTAAAGTTGATCAGTCAGTGGCAAACACTACTCAGGGAAAAAAGAAAAGAGATTTTTTGAGTTCTCTTCCAGCATAAGTAATAATCTTGTTATAATTGTTCATTAGAAAGGTATTCCAATAACCATCACTAATACAAAACCAAAGAAATCATTATGGACAATCACATCCAATTAATTTCAGCTCAATTTTTCTGCTGACTCCAAAAGCAAGCACAGCAAATTATTGTTAAAATATGTCAAACAATACCTACTCTTCTAAGTAAATTCTGATTACAGTTTGGCCCAGCAGAGACATTACAGGTACACTGTGCCTCAGGGCTTTATCTCGCTCTTAGTACTGGTAACAACAAAAGAACTGATTGGTATTATACATGTTTAATAGACAATGTACTTTTTTATTAAACATAAGCTTACATGTACCTTCTGTCGTGTTCTGCTTGCAGAAGTGGTAGCACTCCAATTCTGGCATACCTCTGCTCCTTCAGGAGTTCACTGCCGATTGCAAAAGCAAGCAGGACAAAGAGTTACACTGTAATATATATGGAAATGCACCTTCTCGATCAGCAAATGCTCCGTAAAGTTGAGCTTGGTGAAAAATTAACTTAGACTTTCTATAGTAAAACACGTCCAAACGTTTACTACCTTCAGCTTCAGAACGTAAATAATATTAGTACTAGTATAGGTATTCATTAGCTGTTCATTTGCTTCCGTTGGCACGGGCTAAAAATAAAAGCAACCAATATAAAACATAGCACATACACTGTGCATGTAGCTCAACACACACATACCAGCGTTGTCTGTTTCCCATGATAACCTTATAAAATCCGAAAGCCATCACGGTAGCTCCACCAATAAACAATGCCACACCAGACGGTCCTCTTTTTGGGATATTTCTAGCGAACTCTATGGGAGGATAACCACCTTTTGGTGGCATTTCTTGCTTCACCGGCTGTTTCACCAAGGAGGACGCCATTTTGCTTTTTCACGTCGATTCTGGTTCCCAGTCTTCTGCAACATAGGCTTGCAAAGCGTACACAGCGCCGACACACTAACCTAAAACGTTCGGTCAGGCTGACGTTCGGTTAACTTTCTTGTTTTGAATTACGCTGCAGAAAGATATATTTGTTCCTGAACTAGCGTGAGGTCCATAACCTAAAAAAATAGTCTATTTATTTTGTTTTGGAAAGTTTGCAGAGCAAACCAAAGGCGAGTTCAATTAACGTCTAAGAAAAGAACGAGACCGAAATTCTTTTATAGACCACGCGGACGAAACAAGCAAGTACAATGAAGTACTTATGACAGTGGCTCTAAATGACTCTTCAGATAAATTTATTTATCTGTTCTCGGCAAACGTGCACGCCTAGGTTAAACTCATCTTTTTTTCTTTTTCTTTTTTTTTTTTTCGGACCGTTCAGGGAACTTAGACTGCTCCTTGTCTTCGCAGACCAGTTTGCCATTTAATAAAATTAATATTTTAAGGCATATGTTCGTCTCATCCCAAACATACCCAAATTCTAGCCAATTTCTCAACCCGTTCCTCAGTTCCCTAGCTAATGTAACTACCCAGCATCATGAAATACTCTCTATTTAAAACATAGGGCCAACAAAAACTGATGTGCCACCGGAGAAGACAAATCCAATGAGAAAGTTTCATAATAGGAGGGAAGTTTAAGGTAGCAGCAATTTTATTTCTAAGATTCAAATGAGACCTAGTAATAGTTGTGAATGAACCAGTTTACAGGTTTTCTATGACTCCAGATCTACGTAAGTCTAGCCAAGAGAACATTTTCTCTTGGTCCCGCATAGTTTGTAGTTGAAATAACAAATTCACAGAACGATGATGTACAATACATTGTTCCTATTTTTCGCAAGTCACATCTAAGTTACACCTGATCAACAACTATGAATAGTTGGTGAGCTTATGCTACGTCAATTTCGTGTAATAACATTTTTTCTTGGTGGAAGAATATCCCCAGAGCCCTTCCTTTGTGATAGTAGTAAGGGAGTACATCGGCGTTGCTCCGCAGTGGTTGCGCATTAGATTGTAACGTAACACTCCTCGTCGCGTTACATGACAAGCGCTTGTATCGGAAGAATATAAGTCTCCTTCGCAGCCGTTATTTGGGTCATCACGAAGCGCTCCTATCCAAGAGAAGCATTGCGTGACCAATCAAATAACGACCGCAGAAGGCAGTGACAGTGGAGGGGGAAGGTTGCATCTTTGTTCTCAGTGGTGTCCAGTTTCCTCCGCATGCCAAGGAGTGACATTTGAAGGGATCTTATGTGGGTCGCTTATGTCATCTGACATCGTCATTTTCAAATCATTTGGTGCTAAAGATGCCTTCCGTGCAAAAGCTACAACAGCCTCTAAAAAAACAAAAAAATAAAGTGATTAAAACTGGATACTCCTTATTTTAAGAATGTGTTTTATAGATCATATGCAAGGATATTTTGCCGACATCGCGAGGGCTGAGAAAAAAAATACAAGAAATGAGTAGAATTAGTCTTAATTTAAAAATTGTTTTCTTGCTAATCCTGATTGCAGAGAGACTTTGCATCAATTAATTGATTAATCATAGTGATTTCAAGACAGGTCTTGCAATGGTGTTAAAAAGACTGAAACAGGTTAAAGGTTTTCTACCTGTAGTTCGATCGTCTGTGTAATCTCCGATTGGTTTGCCATCCCTAAAGACTCTAATTGTCGGTAGAAATCTGACATGCAGTTTCTTGCAGATGTTTTCGCCGCTTCCTGCACAGTTCACCTACAAATAATGAGAAATATATGTAAGATTTCCACTACGATGACGCCTTGACACCTTTAGTTCTCCATTACAGTTATTGCAGCCGGACCTTCTACCCTTGGGAGCTACTCTCTTCAAATTCTGGGATGAAAATGGCTCGCCTACTTTGTCCTTGGTTTATGAACAAGGTCGCGCGCGATTGATCGGCTCCATTAGAAATAAGCTTTGAACCAAGAGTTAATAATCAGGAGTATACCGGCTCTCTCTGTAACTCAAACTATGCCCTGATTAAGCTATATTTAGCAGAAAATCTGCAGAATGTATCTAGGCATATATAAATTGTGCTCGGCAACTTTTTAGCAACTTTTGAAGTCTTGTACAACTTGTGCGCAACTTTGAGTAGCTTTGGGCCCTTGAGCAACTCTTGGGCAACTTTAGTCAATTTTTTGTGCCAGAAATGAATTTCCCCTTTTTCAGGGGATGTCGAGTTCAGCTTCAACTGGTAATGAAAAGCCTTTTGAAAAATTAAAGGCGTTTCGCTTTGTTTATGTTTTGTTAGTCCGTGCGCCCACGAACAGGACAGTAGCCATTTGCCCACAAACCTTGAATCAATTTCCAGCGGTTGCGGAATCACTGTAATATTTACTTCCTTTTGAATTTCGGGCTGAAAATGTCACTATCATTTGATATCATGTCAAACCATAACTATGGTCAAACGAAGCAAGTTGTTTAAAGCTTTTCTGTTAATAAAGTGGCGTATGTCAAATTGTTGATAAGCAATTTGTTGAACTTTTAGGACAACGTTTGTCATTTTGGGGCAACTTTGGAGCAACTTTTTGACCCGTTTTTGAGCAACGTTTTCGACATTTTTAAGCACAATCTATACATGCCTAATCACGCATGTATCACACCAATGGAAAGAAAAAAACATTTATTAACGACAAGCTACAAGTTTTTCTCAATCTCTTGAGTACCTTTGCAAAGAAAACGTTCAGTCTCGATCCCTGTGCTTTAATAGCTGCCTTTTCGTAAATGGGAGCAAATTTTTGACAGTGTGGGCACCTGCAATGGAAATTATTGACTATTTCATCAGAAATTTGTGACAGAGTTAAGCTCATCATTTTCTCAACGATAATAAGGAGATCTAGCAGGGATTGGGGGGTCTTTAGGTGCGAATGAAGCCCTACACCTGCTCAGAGAACGGCTAGTGAAAAATGACGAGTGTTAGTTAATTCTTCACCTCTTCGCCGCTGCTGCGCAACTCGTAACTGATCGTTTGGAAGGGGCTAAACGCAAGTAAAACTAGTGTGAACTGGTAACGTTTTACACATTTACACGTCTTTAAACGACAGAGCTAATGACAAATGATCGTCACGCTAATAGCGTTTTGTGAAAGACGATCTCGAGCTTCACAGTACGATGGTGATTGACTTATCAATCTCTCCGTTTAACCACTCCGTTCTTTTATGAATTTTTTGCCAATATTTGCATCTCTACGTCAAATGCTCCGCTCGTGGCTGGACACATTTTACTCAGTTAAGTTCAAAACGTAAATCTAGCCACTGCCTTCACTATTCGACTATTCCAAAACCGAATAGTACATTTAGTTTACCAAACAAAGGAAAATTGACTTCAAACAGAACAATAGAACGTGATCCTTGTGATTCCAGAGGATTTTCGTGATGGTTTTTTTTTTTTTTCCTTAGCCGAATTATTTAAAACATTTCAATTTAACTACCTACACTGAGGCATGCATAGACTACTGTTTTAAAACTAGTGTGTTGATTACCTACCATGGAGCGAAAAAATCCACCATTGCAACCTGGGACACAGTAAGGTAGTTCTCAAAGGTATCATCTGTGAGCTCTTCAACAGGCGATTGTTCTCCGGCTTCCAAAGTTATCGCCAGAGCTGCAAAAATTGTCATCGAAGCGAGTAGAAACTTCATGTTGTCGGCAACAAGGTGAAAATAGCAAGACTTTGTCTGTTGCAACGATAGCTGGTGCTCACGAACGTTGTACCAGCGCGTGTCTCTAAGCGTAAGTTGACAGATATTTGTGGAGAAATCTCTTATAGATGAAATGTGACTAAACCTGCAGGACCCGTAATATTTGTTTTATATATGCTTTGTTTAATTCTTTTAGCCAGCGACCACCAGAAACACCCGTATAAGCAATTTATCGGACAATCACGCAAAAAAGATGGTGCAAGCATAAGAATATTCTCTTGTTAAGCAGCGAACAAGATTACTAGCCCTTTGGGTTTCTTGCATAAGAGCCAGAGAATATAACAATATTCATCGAAAATACCGAAAAAAATCTCAGGGAAACTATTGTGCTCTGTTAGCAGTAAAAATTCTGTCATAAAGGTCTTGTCTTTATAGCAGTTTACAGTAGTAAATCGCAAAAAGACTATTACCGTTAAAATTGTAGTTCGCATAACATTCATGACTGCACTCAAATCACTGCTTCATCGAGCTTTACTGTGGAAAAGTGTCCTGGGAACGAGATTGAGACATGATTCCCTTCTTTGAGATACTGGGAACGAGTAAAAGCATGCCTCACTATGAGGACTACAAACAAGCACTTTGCTAGTCAGCTCACTGCATGGTTTACTGCTGGAAATAAAATCTAATTTGGACAAATTTCTCTTCGGATGAAAAAGAATTGGCCGGGGCATACAAGTTAACTAAGGCAGCGTCCACACTAATCCGTCACGAAAACGGAGCTTTTCAACAACGCTCTTCGATTCAAACCGGGGGAATTTGAGAACGTCTACCTTTTCGTTTTCGTGTTGACGGAAAAAATTTTGCCTGAAACGGAGCTTCTCGAAAACGATGGATCATGTGATTTCCCTGAGCGAGTTTTCCTAAAAAAAACAAAGCCAAAATAACCTTTACATTACCTTAGGCCATCTAGGGCGTCAACCATGGATCTCCACCTGACTCTATTTTTGGCAGTTCTCTTTGCCTCTATCCAAGTGATACTCTTCTTGGCGAGCTCGTCTTGCACACTTCGCCTCCAGGATTGCTTTGGGCGGCCTCTTCTTCTGAACCCCTGAGGGTTCCACTCGAGGGCGGAAAGTGTGATGCTATTCTCAGGCTTCCGTAGCGTATGCCCGATCCATTTCCGATTTCTTCTCTTAATGCTCTCTTCTATACGACTTTGTTCAACAAACAAAATAACTTTTGATTGCTGCGTTTTTAAATTCCTCCGGCGTGGTGTGGATGTGACTTAAGCCCATGCAGTTCCACGGCTCTTCGAAAACCTGTGGATTCTACTGATTCAAGATGGCAGATATATCTGATCAGTCGCCACACAACTATCTAGGACTTAAACAACTTCTTTTTGCCTTTTTTTAAATAAATGACTTCTTGAAAGTAATTCTTAAAATTTGTTAAGTGTATGGAGAAAACAAAAAGAATTGGGTGGTTAAAAAATAATATTAGCTTTTCACGTAGGATGACTACATTATGCAAACATCTTCATTGGTATTTTTGAACGCATATCTGAATGTTCAGAAATACAGCATTTCGATGGATAACAGAGAGAAACGAGCCTTTTTATTAGGACTCTGCCAGCACTTCACGAAGTCTGGGACCGATCGTCTGTCCGGATTTTTGTATTTTTATTATTATTAGCGATCGTTGTTTGTAACTGTTCATTATTTTGACACTTTTGCTGACACTTCAAGTGCTGGCGTGCTACAAAACAAGTCAAGCCTGGAACAGCGATTTGACGAGCTTTGCAAATCGAAAGTGCCATCACTTCCGGGTCATGCAGCATTCATTAGGTTCTTTCCGACTTGCCTACCCGAGAGTGTAAACCTGGGATTCATCGCGTGGAAGACGGCTACTTGCGAGGGACTGACTCAAACTTTTCAAGCTGGTTTAGAAGCAGAATTAACGCTTCGCCTACACACACCGCCAGGGGAAGTATGGCACACGAATCTTCGCGATCAAGTTGAAGTTTTCGTGGAACCCGCTGAAGAGGTGGCAAGTTTAGTTATTCGTGAGAAAGAAGATGGAAACTTCCAAGTGAAGTTCACACCTAAAATACCCGGCAGCTACACTATCAACGCCAAATTAAACGCTGTCACTCTCACTGGTAGTCCTTTCACGGTCCAAGCTCAGGAGCGAAGATTTTCTGTGGACTTAGTTAGCGAGCTGCACATGCCAAGAGGAGGTCGAGTAAAGCGGCCTCGTGGAATTGCTGTAAATAGGAAAGGGGAGATTGCTGTCACAGATTACGAGGGCCACTGTGTTGCCTTATTGGACAATGCTGGCAGGTTTATTAGGAAACTGGGCAGTGAGGGAGAATCGGATGGATATTTCAAACATCCAGCCGATGTTACCTTCCTAACTGACGACGAGCTACTGGTGGCATATGAATGGAATCAGCGAATACAACAGCTTGACGTGCGTACAGGAAACTTTTTAAAGAGCTTCGGGAGAAAAGGTTCGCAAAGCGGAGAGTTTCAGAATCCGCTCAGTGTGTGCACCGATGATCAAGGACAGGTTGTTGTCTCTGACTGGTTAAATGACAGAATACAAATATTCTTAGCAAACGGTCAGCCAGTGTTTACAGCCGGATCCAGTGGCCCAGAACACATCAGTAGCCCACTGAGTTGTGTAGCACACAAAAACAAGCTCATTGTGAGTGATGGCGTCGATCACTGTGTAAAGGTTTTTGACAAGCAAGCTCAGTTTCTGTATAAGTTTTGGAGAAAAGGCTGTGACGAAGGGTGCTTTAATAAGCCTTCAGCTATGTGCGTGGACCGTTTCGGCAATGTACTCGTGTGTGATACCAAGAATGCCCGTGTACAACAGTTTAGTTTAGACGGCCGTTTCACTGGCAAGAGTTCCACCGTGCTGCTCAGTCCTGCGGGTATAGCCGCTGCCCCAGATGGTCGAATCCTTGTGACTGATGGCGAAGCCAACAAACTCTACTGCATACGTTGAATGCGCTATATATTTGTACACGAAATAAAAACCTAAGACATGTAAGCAGTTAGGTATAGTGAGTAAATTTTCTTCCGCGTTAAGTTCTGGTGCTTGCAAATTGGTGTGAAATGTCGATAGCGTGATTGCATGGTCGCCACTTTTCCGACACCTTGTTCCAGGGTTTCTTGGCATACTACCGAAATTAAGAATTTCTCACAGCATCAACTTTGCGATAACTATAAAATTGAACGCGATTATTTAAGCAAGGGTGTTGTTTTTTCCTAATTTTAGCGAGAGTCATGGGAAATAACCTTTCAAACATGAAAAGTCCCGTTACTGAGGGGATAGGTTAAGTAAAAATTAAGTGCAAAATCTAGAATGTATCTTTTGTATATGGGTATCGTCTGAAAATGTCAATACCGCTTGACATTAATAGCACATGCCAATTGCATCGGATCGGAAATTCAGTTGACTCAGTTATTTGCTATGTTGATAGTAAGACTTAATATCAACATGGATGGTGTAATGTATTCAAGAAATTATGGTCAAAATTAAGCAAAGGCGAGATTATATTTGATCAGCAAGTCAATAGAAAACAAAAAAGTGATATCAGTACCTAGTCTTGTTAGTTAATCTCTTTTTTATTGATTGATTGATCAATTAACTTAAAAGTGATTAATTTATAAATCATTTTTATCGTCAAGTAACTTTTTAAGAAGGCTAATCGTCCTTCAGTTAGGCAAAGGACGAATTCGATAGGCGTGTAAATTGTTACGTAAAAAATCATTTTATTATTCAATAATTTACCATGGCTACGAACCAGCTTAGAAAAAGTTTCAACCAGTTTTAATGTTATAGTTATATCAGCTTGTATAACAGCTCCTATGTAGATATTTGTCCCCTGAGTTTGTAAATTGGTCAACAAGGAAGAACGTGACAAAATCATTCTTGAAAGCAACTTTTAACAATTTTCATTTCACTTCAAATCTATATGGTATACCATTAGCACCTTGATTTAAATGGTTTTCGTAAAATATAATTTGAGTATTTTAAAAAATTGTTAACCCAATGCAATATTATTCGATTAAGTCATCGTTACTACATCTACAATCCTACAGCCAAAAGTCCTTAAGACACTCAACTTATATCGTGGACGGAAACATCAATGTTTGTCTGCTCTTGCTTGTTTTTTTTCAAGTTCTTATTTAGTTATTACCCCCTCCTCCCCCCCCCTCCCCCCCTCCCACTCTCCCCAAACGATGTTGAATTTGCAAACGGAATTCTCGCTATGTGGACAACATTGTAAAGGAGGGAATGGGGTGTATGCATTTCTCTCTTAGGTGAGCTGTATGCTCACTAGAAAATTAAGGAGTCCTAAGACTTTTGGCCAAGATTGTAGTTCCTATTAGGTGTAAAACTACCCGTTGAGCGTGGTACTACCGTATTAAAATATTTAGAAATATAACATTGTGGTGTAACTTCAAATACATATTCAATCAATATTTCCAGAAGCTTAATCATGATGCCGTTATCATATGTACATACAATGATCAGTTATCAGCACATATTTTTACTTCGTATGTCCCAAGCAATGAATCATTTGGAAAGTTTATTCTTTTGTTCATAAATTTGTTTAGTATTCGCACATTTTATGCATCCTCTCCTTTCTTCTTTCCTTGCTTTCCGGCTAGCTTGTTTGTTTGTTTGTTTGTTTGTATATTGAATAATTTATTCTTTCACTTGAATCTGTGGGATAGCTTATTCGTTACTCGTTTCTAGTTACTTATCACAAATTCGATTCTGGCCAAAAAAAGAGGCTTTGCAAAACTAAATAAACATAACTGAAAACATATTTACTCTGGTGGCGGCTGGGATGACGAGGAACTCAATCTTTCTTGTTCCGAAAGACAAAACATAATAAATCTACATCATCTCTAGCATTGAGTAATTTTCTAGTTTCTCTAGATATCTCTTGTACCATCTCTCGCCGTGAGGATAAATAAAATTGTTACAATATAAACTAGCTCAAAAATGTTAAATTCATGGCGTCCAGCAAACACTGCCCTGTAAATATTCATTTGTGGAGGACCTGCAAAGGGCTTACAAGGCTTTTCTAAAACGTATTGTTTTTCTTATCATAACCTCTCTACACAACTGAGGCTTTTGCTACAGTAGAACGCTTATGCATATAGATGTGTGCTGTTTCTTCTAAAAAACTTGTATACGATTGTTGCTGAGATCAGATACAACAATGTATCCACTATTGGGCATGATCGCAACGCTCTCTGGGAACGATAGCTGTCCGTCTCCACTACCCTCGGATCCAGCCTCCTTGACGAACTTACCACTGGCGGCCAATATCTGCAAGCGGTGATTTCCCATGTCAGCAATCACAAGATTGCCGGCGATATCGATGGCTAGCCCACGGGGATGTGAAAACTGCCCTTCCCCTGTTCCCTGGCATCCGATTTGCCTCAGCGATTTCCCGTTTTTGTCGAACTCTTGGATACGGTGGTTTTTCGAGTCAGATACATATATATGGTCATCTTCCGGGTTGACGAGGAGGTAGCAGGGAGAGTTAAACTGCCCGGGGCGATCGCCGTAAGAACCAATTTTTGATACGAACTTTCCTTCGGGGGAGAAAATTTGAACCCGGTGATTCTCCATGTCAGCGACTAGAATATCGTTCTTCCGAGAGGTCGCAACTCCCCAGGGGGATTTGAAGAAACCGTTGCCAGTACCCTCGCGACCAAATTTGCCAATGAATGCACCATTCCGACTAAGGACCTGAATTCTGTTGTTACCATTGTCGCAAACAATGATTCTTCCTTTGTTATCAATGGCTACGTCTGTCGGGCAGTTAAACTCTCCCTTGCGTTCCCCGTGGGAACCAAACTGGGAAACATACTCTCCCCGTGGGCCAAAAATTTGGATTCGATGGTTGTAGCTATCGGCTACGTAGATGTAACTCTCGTTGTCGACTGCAACGCCGAACGGTGATTTGAACTCGCGTTTTTTGCTGCCGTACTGACCAAATCGATGGAGCGTCGGGCCGACGTCGGCGTATTCGCGGCGGTTGATGACGAGCACGGTGAAGGGGCTACCCATGATTGGCTTATCTTGAATGGAAACGGACACTTCATGTTTGCCATTCACCTCTGGCATGTAGAACACAGTGTAGGTGCCATCCCCTGTAATTGAGACGAGACAATTTAGATTTACATGACTGATCACTAACAACAGCGTTCTTTAAAAATTAATTTAATGTTACTGTTTTATGCAGTGTCTAACCCAACCGCGCTCATATTAGAAGTTATATCAAATCCGACAATTAAGAAATAACATAAACCTTACTTCTTCACGGTATGATTGTGGAGGCGCGGTGGCCTCATGGTTAGTGCGCTCGACTCTGGACCGAGCGGTCTGCGTTCGAGTCCTGGCCGGGGACACTGTGTTGTGTTCTTGGGCAAAACACTTTACGCACACAGTGCCCCTCTCCACCCAAGTGCATAAATGGGTACCGGCGAATTTAATGCTGGTGGTAACCCTGCGATGGACTAGCATCCAATCCAGGGGGGGGAGTAGAAATACTCTTAGTCGCTTCAACTAGAGAAACAAAGATGAGCACCAGCCTGATGATCCACTTGGCTCGCATGCAGATTCTACCTTTTACCTAACGGTATAATTTGCCAGATGTTAACAACGAAGAAGTTTTCTGCGTAATTACCTTCATCCTTGACTGTGGACCGCAAAGGTGTCCCATCAGGTTGCCTTATGTCAACTGTGACTCTATCTCCTCCTTTGTATCTCTGGCCATGTCGATCCTTAGTGGTCAGCCGGAAAGTTGTCTCCATTTTGACACGCGCAGTGTGAATTCCGTCTCCACTTGCGTATGAAATCGAGGCAAAAGTGCTGCTAGCCCGGATGCTGCCTAGAGACTCGGACACAGTCTTTGTTGAGGCGGGATCGTGAACGTATTGAATGGTGTCGTCTTCTTCAGGCTCGAATTGGACCTTCACATCATTCAAGATTTCCAAGCGTCCTTTCATCTGTAGAACTTCGACCTCGTTGCCAAACGTCAAGACGTTGTCAGCAAACTCGCAGCAGCCAGAAAGCTTTCCCAGCTCAAGCTCGATGCTGTCCTTTTGCAAGCCCAAGACTTTCTGCTTGCCGTCATGGATGTGATCTAGCTGCCTCAACAGCTCATTTTGTCCTTCGCGCAACGCCTCGATTCGATCTTCAGTGTTCTCGCTGATTTCCTTTGCGATGGCTTCTCTGCACTCCGTGAGCCTTTTTGACATTTCTTGAACTTGAGACAGCGTTTTCTTTAGTTCAGGCATCCGGGATTTGGCTTGTTCAAGCAGTTCTGCGATAGCGCCTCTCCTGGCCGGCAAAGCGTCCTTGGGATATACGTACTGGTGTTCCCGGTGCTCTAGGATCGTACACACTCGGCAAATGGCTTCGTCGCACGTGTTGCAAAAGTACTTGATGACATTTCTTGTGTGATACTTGCAGAACGACAAACTGTATTTATCCAGCTCTTGAGTCTCTTGGCTGTCATCTTCGCTGGTTGCAATGATTCTGTGGTCGAGTGTGGCATGGGCCCGCTTGTGCTCTGCCACGCAACTCGTGCACAAGTCCTTGTTGCAGTCCACGCATCTTGAAGTAGCAAAATCCGCTGTTTTCATGTTATCGCAGGCGTTGCACTTCTTGTTCTCGCGCATTTCTTTCTTCAGCTCTTCTGATTTCAAGTGAACCAGATCCAGCATTTGATTTACAAAGAAGTTAGGCATTAAGTGATCGATTCCTTGGTCCGGAAGTGGAGTTTTGGCGCGGCATGTGGGACAGGTAATCGTTGAAGATGGATCGTTGTTGGCAATTCTATGCAAACACTGCGAACAGAACGTGTGAAGACATTGCAGGAATAGCGGCGTGGTCAAGCGATCCAGACAAATGGCGCACATCAATTGCTCGTTGATCTGTTCGATAACCTTGATGGCTGACGTCATGGTGCCTCGTTAAACCTGACAAACAGGATTGAAATTGGACAAATTAGTCATTGCACCGAAGATAAGGCCAAGCGATATGTTTTTAAATAAAAATATACCTAAATATGTTCCAGTCCGCTTACAGTATATGTTATTTCGCTTATCAACTGCTTCTATGATGTTTTCGAGATAGGTTTGCATGGTTGAGCGCTTGGAGAGGGGAGGTTTGCCCCCCGTCCACCGATTTCAAATTGCCCGAATAGTCTACCCTGATAAGCGATACTGATTGAGATGAGTATTAGTTTGAGCCAAGCATCAGAGTGTCTTGCTCGGCTCCGTTTATACTGAATCGTAAAGTTAGTCAGATTACTTAGTTAACGTAGTTTATTTAATGGCCGTCTTAAAACCACGGTAATTACCTCTGGCAATCACAATAAACGTAATTTTAGAAATAAACTAACGAGATCTCAAAAACACGGATTGGGAGCTAAATTAAACGATAGATCAGGTAACACAAGGTCCTTGAAAATTAGATGTTGAGGGACCAAAAGCCGACGCCATTTTCTTTTTTTTTTTTTTCATTTGTTTGTTAGTTTCGTTGGTCACGCATGACTTTTTGATTGGCTGCTTAATTGGTTGATTGGTTGGATGACTTGACTGCTTGAGTCATTGATAGGTTGGTCTGCCGTCGGTTGGTTGGGTGTTCAGCTGGTCGATTGGTCGGTAAGTCAATCTGTCGGTCGACTGTTTGGTTGGCTGGTCATTGATCAGACTGACAGTTACTGGGCTCAGAGACCGAACAGTTGGTTGGTTGGTTTCAGAGACTTGTAACGCAGTGTTGTGGACGATGAACAGTGCTCTGCTCTTCTCTTTGGGTCGACAAATTTAAAGATACACTGTATAATTAAGTATAGTTGATAATATCACTGACCTTTGTCCAACTTTATATCTAGGCCCTAAGCATTAAGCAAGCTTCGATAAACTTAATTTTATTTAATGAATGGAAGGACTGATAATTGATGTGACTTTAAGCGCAAATCTATTTTAAATAACATGTAAAGCACCTTATAATTACTTCGGCTTTTCTCCGTCTCGCGTTATTAACACACGGAAAGAAATCGCTTCGTTGTATCACTCTCTATTAAGCCGAAAATTTTGCTTTGTTTTATTGCATTTAAGTTGGAAGCATCAATTTTTGGTACTCGTTATCTCATTCTACACTGAAGAGTTGATGTTTGATCAGGCAATATTCTTCTTGATAATTTTGTCATTCCAGAAATATGTTGATATTGTAAGCCCGAAAACTGAAGTTAATTGTGATATCAATCGTTCTTTGCTATGAGATCGGACTGGATGGGCGAGATGAAACTGTCGGCTAAATGTGGCACATTAAAAGCTGGTTTTCACTGGCGAATAAGCATAAGGTGCTGTTAGGTAGGGCCTTTTGTTTGGACACTGTTCGAACAAAAGGCGCTAATTTTCAACCTCTTACTGTTTTAGCCTTATGTCGGCTTATGCTGTAACTGACGTGCTTGTCAAAACCAGCCTTAAATTTGCTTGTTGCCAGTTTTGACTCTATCACTCCTTAATTACATTCTTTATAAATGCAGTAGTCCCATGGACAGTTGAAGAAATGAGCTCATTCAATTAATGAACTAGTCTTTCGCGGTGTTTAATTTAATGTTAACCCGTCCCTCCCTATTCCCTGTTAGTTCAAAAAACGTAAGACACTGTGAAGTTTTCCTGCAGAGAAAATGGTCGAACGGTCGGGCAACTTTTACTCCCTAGTTGAAAAGCGCTATTCGTATTGTTTTTGGAATTATTGCTTTCATGTCCAAAATAATCATAGAAGTGATTAAGTTACCTGTTTCGATAAAATATGCACGGGACAAAACCTATCGAAACCCGATTTACCCATGAAAAAAGATAAAGATGAAATTTATACTACTTGACAGTAGTTCCAGAAGCTGTGATGAAAACGTAGTTTGTTCTTCTAAAGAGAAATATTCCGACTTTAAGCAAAGCTTGTGACCAGCTGCCGTAGTTTGTATCAGCTTTAGTTTAAATCGCACTAAAAAAAGAAATCAAAACTCACAAAGTCAAATTGAAATCATGGCTTTTTTTCTTCAGAACTAATCTTTGAGTTCGCGGGGTTTTTTCGATCTAATATCGATTTGAAATACTTGTCAAGCGGAAAAACATTTTTGGATCAACTGATGTAAACTGAAGTACCAGTTTTAAATTTCCTTTTTGTTCGCGAGTAAAATAATCAATTGACTTTGGCTCGCAAAAGTCATAAACCACCGTCATTAATAATCTTAAAGAGTCCGAACATATCTTGGTATCTTATGATTTGTGGAAGTTGAAAATGATTTATTTTCACGGATCACTTGGGAAGCGAACCCTCCTCCTGGCGACTTTCAGTTATTTCAAAAATAATTCGCGTTCCTAAGTGTAGAGATGATTCGAGCTTTATATTTACACGAAGCGAACGATACTGAAGAAGTTTGAAGTTACCTCAATCTGTCCTTATTTTTCCAGTGTTGGCGTATTCCAATACGTCCGCGGACGAATTCATTCAAGCTACTTTAGGATTGTTTCACGCCGCTGAGAAGGAAAAATATATCATCCTTTGTTCTTGGGTGATTTCATTACGATGCAGTGATCTGGCATTCTTACGTAAAAACCCGTTGACCTGTGCTCCGGTATTTGACTGCTCGTTGACCAATCAGTGGAGGGAATAGTTTTGTTGATTTAGGGACCATCTGAAGTTTGACGGGTTAATAAGCAGGTTGAAAATATTTCACTGCATCTTCAAGTTATTGGCGTTTCTGTGCCTTTATGGGATTTGTGAATCGCTTTGATAACGTGTGAATTACTAAATGCAACAAAATATCTATAAAATGAACTAAATATTGTTAAATATCCACGATTCGTCATATCGAGATCAGCGAAGAATAATCGAAAATTGAATTTGTCTCTGGAAATCACCACTGGATTGTTTACCAGGATTGAGGGATATGTTTTTATTTGCACAGCTTTTAGCCGGAATAAGGACCAAACATATTGGAAGTTCTTTGCTTTGAATTTTAGGGACGCTTTTAATCCAAAATAAACAAACCATTACGCAGTTAGACAATCTGTTGCATAGGAAATACGTAACACGCTCTAAATGTGTTCAGTACAATGATTATCTTGTGACATCTGCTGTTATTTGAAAATGTTCATGGGGAACTCGATCTCACGGCCTTAAACCAAGAAACCCGACGTTTGTAGTCTCCATACATACTAACTGATTTATACAATGTAATTTCGTCCCATACTTCTCTCGCACTGACTTTTCCATAACTGTTTAGTGCTTTGGGTTCTTATACCCTGCACTGATTTGTTGACTCAGTTTAAGGTTCTTAGTCTCTAAGAGAGATAAGCAGGAGGCAAAACCGGCCGTATCATTGAGATGAAAAAACATACCACGAGTTTTTCCGCCAGGGCCCGTGGAGGGTACACACAGCGGGGGGTGGGGGGCGCAGAATATAACGTTTGTATAAGAATCCGGTGACAAATGAAGCTTATGAAACATTCTAACGGTCCTAACGCCAATCCGTATACTTGAAGGAGCTCAGTCACGATATTTTGAGTCATTTTTTTTTTTTTACAAAATACGGCTTTCAACTAAAGGGAACCTGAAAATATAAATAGCAGTTAACTAAGATGCAGAAGCACCAAAGACTAATAATAAACCATGAATGAACAAGGATGGTGAAGTATGGAGAAAATTGACACGGATTACAAACGACGAACTTGAACAATTTATGATAAACTTTTCAAGATGCGGAAACCGTGACGAAGCTCCTTTAACCGGATGAGCCGAGATGTGTGACGTACAGTGACATAGCCAATTCCTCAATTCCACATTAGATCCATCCTTGAGTTTACACTAGTCCTGACTAGAACCCAGTCAACAAAAGTTCACTTTTTCGACCACGGTTCTGCAGCGAGGTGCGCGGGATTTTGTGTTACGAAGCGCACTACTTAGATGACGACATGATGGCCAAAATTGCCGGACTATTTTCTTATGACTACAAAAATAAATGCGCACTGGGTTTGAGTGAGACATTTGTCTGAAAATTATCCCCGCACTCTGAATCGTGCTTCGTACAGATGAATGTATATACTGAATACAGACTCTAATCGCGCATGTACCATGTGTACGCCTCCCATCAAATCTACCCTAGTTATGTTCAGAGAAATCATTCTGCTCTTGGGTGCAGAGAGTGTAGTCTGAGACGCCAAACCCATGAGTTATGAAATTCTGACAAGCTACATAGAGTGTGGATATTCCAGAAAACAAATTTTACGAAAATTGTGCGACGCACACTGACTGCAACGTACCTATTCAACATTAAATAGGGGACAAATCACAAACCCGTTTCGTTGACTGACGAAAATAAGGGGACTGATTTTTCTAGTTCTGCTGGTGTGACTAAATAAATTCCCCAACTCTCTCAACTGATAGTGTATTTAAGTCTTATATGACATTGTTTTTAGTGTAGCAATGATAAAGAAATGAAGGGCATTTTTTCTCTTTGACAGTTCAGCCGACGCCTGGGTTCACGCCTTACGCTATGAATTAAAATCATTCACGAGAATGCACATATATATATATGGGTAATATACACTCTAAACACAACTGAAACTCAAAAGGTCCAAAAGAACAATCTTAGCATCTCAAATTGAGTTTTCTTCAGTTGATTTTGGGATATGAGATTCAGCCATAACTAAAAATAATAACTATGATCATTAGCAAAAGCAACTCTAAAGGACTTGAAAACCCCGTTGACTATTAGCAAAAAAAACGTATAGAACAACAAATAGCTGAGCACATGTGAGCTCAAGTCTAAACTGATAATTTTCACTAATAATGTGTTCAACAATGAACGACGAAAAGTTAAAATGCCAGCGATTTTGGGATAAAGATACAAACTGACATGATCAACTGTTAACAAAGACTGTTCCAGTCTCTGTTTTAGTAAAGCGAAGCGGGATATTGTAAAGAAACTGCATCTACAATGTCGTGGTTTAGTTTGCGGATCTTCCCAGGCGATATGCTCTTCGTTTAAGCCTCCTTTCTGTCACACACGAGTTGCTTCAAGTTTAGGTGATGTGCTTTATACAAAACATCTTTACTTCCCCTTTTAGCGGGCCATACGACAGTACGCTGTTTTGATTCATCCGTGCAGTAACACTGTGCCTTTGACGATTTGTAGCTGCATCCATGCCCTTTCAATGAGTTGTCGTCCCTGTTGACGTGAGCGTTCTTCTTTGTCTTCCCAGTGTCCAGTGTCACTTTCTCGTACTTAATGCACGAGGTACCATAGCAACGGCATCGACTAAATGCCTTGACGTGACAATCGTCATTTCTATGACAGCCTTCTGGCGCCAGAGAACACTCGTACTGGGGTGAGGTAGGGGAAGAACCCTTCACCAAGTTGAACATCTGCAAATCTTGTCCACCATTTGTCTGATAGTTGCAGCCATAATTGAGAAACCCGAGGTAGTAGGACTCGAGATTGACAGCTCTGATGAAGTTATCGTTATCTTTACCTACATAAAGAAACAAGAGGATATCCCAGGTTGCGGTTAACGTATACTGGATTGCAGCGTTAGTGGCGTTGGCTTCATTCATGAATTTTTCAATCAGGTCGGCTGTGCGGTTCTTGATGAGTTCGTTTCGGGTTTCAGTGGTCCCTCCTTTAATGACAAGCTCGCCCCTCATGTTCATCTTTGACACTCGCGATGCTTCACTTTTGTCAATATCGGAACACATCGAGACTCCAAACGCCGATGATATACCCAGGGACATGCAGCTTTTGACCTGGAAATCTCGTTCAGTGTAGGAATCGGAAGTCTCAGCAAATGCCATTTGATTGATCATCGATCCTACCGAAATAGACGTGAAAACATGGGAGCCGTATTTCTTAAGGAAGATATCATACTCTTTCCAATCCGAGTCCATCCACGGCTGTGGAATGTTGACTGGCAGTGATTGAAAACTATCCAGAAACTTTTCGTCAAAATCTTTTCCATAATTCAGGCAGTCTTTGTTCAATATTTCTTGACGATAGGATGCGACAAAATAAAGTGAATTACCAGTCACTCTCCGGTCACTTCCACCGACGTTTTCTGATGCTTGATCAAGTGTTTGGCTCAAGGAAAAGTCAGTCTGTAGAGAGCTTTCCAGACCTGAGGAGGTGGTCATGGAAGAGTAGAATTCTTCGGTGTTTTTGTAAAACTTGAATCCCCTGCTCGAGACGTCCTGTTTAGCTGTAATAGTACATTGCGGCACAGCTGAAGAACGCAGTACCTGTCGGAAATTAAAACATTACGCTCAACTTTGATGATCCTAAAAGAGTCTTAGCTTGAATCTTCCGAGATTCAAGACGATAGCATTTCAGACCCAGTTAAGGATCGGTTACAGTAGCATCATCAGAAATTCTGAAATTCAGCTGAAGAATATACTGTATGAGAGATATAATTCGCAAAAACTGAAAAAAAATCAAAATTTGGCGAAAATATGTCAATAATGGGCATAGAACACAAATGAATATCTGAAAGATCATACATTTCATAGAACAGGTCTGTAAGCATACCAGTCATTTCTGTATTTCGACTAGTTCGCGGTTCTTTTCAAAATCTTCCGTCAAAATATGAATATTCCGTCCGTAACGATTTTTTTTGGACGGCCTAGCCCTCAGTATTTTCGGCCTACTCTCTGGATGAAGATGTTTTCGAAAAAAAAACACAAGTTTTGCCGCCCAAGTCGGCGGTGGGTTATGGGCATTTGCATGCATTCAATGAACACGCTGTATGTTCAGCAAATTCTATCGTTATTTTACAAACAATTACTTCAGACCAAATATTACAACATACAGTTGGATTTCGGTATAATTTTCAACAGATAACAGCTGGTTAGTGATATGCTGCTATTCTGGTTTTCCTGGCTTAAGTACAGGTTCATTAAACTTGATTTGGTCACAGTAGGAAAATTTTGCTTTCATTTTAGTCGTGTACGTGATAGCGTAGTTGATTGCGTCAATGTCAACCCCAGCGCGCGTGTGGCGCTTAGACCATGGCTTGCGTAATGCGCAGAACGTGTGTGCACTAACAAAAGTAGGCACCGTCCTTAAGGTAATTCCTCTGAAATAAAAGTGACAATAGATTTTTGTTCAAACTTTGTCCNGAAAGAACCCAGTTAAATGCAGCGCATGCGTAGTTAGTCAAAAAATTGCGATTGAAAAATTGCACTCTCGGAAATACGCCTATTTCTCGAGAACCACTCATTAGAATTTCACGAAATTTGGTAGGAAAATACTTAGGAAATAAGTAACTGGAGTATTGAAAATAATTGAACTTTAACAGAGGATATTCTAGATATTCCAGTGAACCTTCAACAGGGGATAATTAAAGATCTCTCTGTTAAATTATTAGCAAAATGGTGTTAACTTGTGAGGATCGTTACAAGTTTGTTGCATACAAATTATCAAGAAAATCTAATGACTAGATTTTCTACAAATAAACAAAACCAATTTTAAAGGCCTTTTTGTTTTTATTCATGTTGCCATGGCAACGGCACCCACGTCAGCTTAACCATCGAAAAACCAAAGTTTGTGTTATTTGCTTGCTTGCTGCCATTTTTGGCGACCGAGAGATCAAGGGTTTTAGAGAAAAAGGTGAATGAAACACAGGTATCAAAAACTGTGTCCAGCCACCTTAAATGATGATCCTATAAAAGAGTCTTCGATCAGAAATTTAGCTTGAAAGATCTTCCGAGATTCAAGGCGATAGCATTTCAGAGTTACTGTGCCTTTCAATAACATGCAGACTCTAAAATTCAAAGCTCAACGGACAAGTGCGTTTTTCGCTACCCTCAATCAAGTGTTCGGCGGCTCCTTCCAGCTTCCGACTTCTACCGAGCGCGCGGTAATCAAATCGTTGAGCACAGTTCAGACAACGAAACAGTGCTCGGCTATGGGCGGCCGTCACCACCAAAAATACAAGATTATTAAACGGCACAGACCAAACATAAATGGTTTAGTGATGGTTTGCGAAATGGAATAAATGATTGACAAATGATACTGTCTAAATACAAATAGTTAGGTGTTCTCGTGTTAAACGGTCTACTGAAACAGTAAATGATTTAGACAATTTAGAAATGGTTCAGTCACCGATATCAAAATGGAGCAAACTAATAAGGATCAGTTTATTTAAATGAGAATCCATCTGACTACCAGACAGTCTAAACCGCCGGTATAGTCTATATCGTGGATTCTATGACACGTCCGGCTGCAACGCAGGCTAGTTATTGAAAGATGCAGTGACTATAGTAGCATCATCAGAAATGCTGAAATTCACCTGAAGAATATACTGAATGATAAGTGATATTATTCGCAAAAACTGAAAAAAGAAATCAAAATTTGACGAAAATGTGTCAATAATGGGCATAGAACAGGTCTGTAAGCCTATCAATCATTTCTGCATTTCAACCAGTTCGCGGTTCTTTTCAAAATCTTCCGTCGAAATATGAATATTCCGTCCGTAACGATTTTTTTTGGACGGCCTAGCCCTCAGTGTTTTCGGCCGAACCTAGTAACGATATGTTGACATATGTTGACATGATTGATCATCGCAGTTATGCACACAACTTAAAGCCTGAAAAAAATTCAGGCCTGGACGGGATTCGAACCCATGACCTCTGCGATACCGGTGCAGTGTGAATTTTTTTCAGGCTTTAATTTCACAACTTCTGAAGTTGTGTGCATAACTGCAACGATCAATCATGTCTTCATGATATTTCATACATTCACTTGAACAAGCTGTATGTTCAGCAAATTTTATCGTTATTTTACAAACAATTACTTCAGACCAAATATTACAACATACCTGAGATCCACTTTCGCGCAAGTTTCCAAGCAAGTCAAACTGAGGAAGATACACTCCCCTTCCCAGCGGGTTAAAATCTTCCGCGGCAACCGCAAAAGTACCGATGTGAAAAAAGGACAACGCCAACAAGAAAATCATCCTCCTAAATACTCTGCTCGTTCAACGGCAAGTGGAATTCAAGAGTGTCTTATCAGTGTGGTTTCGTTGTTTATTGATAGTTGACCTCTTCTCGCTTAGATAAGATGTTGCATTGTTTTGGAGTGACACGTAGACATAAGAAAACACACAGACGATTAAATTACCTGTTGTCTCAAAAGGAACTCATGATACTTTGCTGCGTCAAACTAAATCTCTTGCCAAAAATATTTTCACGAAGTCAGGTTTCAGGACGGGGGAGACACCCTCTGCTGGGTTTAGGGAATATGTACTGAATAGGGTAATACACGGGGAAAACTGAGCCACGTACAAAATTGTATTCTGGTGAATTTTATAACAATGCTCTTTAAAATGTCTAACGAACAACTCTGTTATTATTACACGGCAATTTCGCCCACCAAAAGATTTTAGGGTTCCAGAGAGAGTCGTTTTCAAATTATATTTCCTAAAAACGCTTCCCTCCNGTTCTTAAAACGCCTCTTCCCCTAGAATCTTACGTGCAGAAATTTGGCAGCAATCGTATATATGGCTTCAAAGCAGGATAAGGCTGATCAGATACACGTCAAGGCAATAGGTGATATTGTTTTAGAGATTTATACCTTACGATACACGTAAGGTTTCCTTAGCTTTGTTGATTAAAAGGTTGCAATGACAGAGTCGTTGTCTGATCTAAAGGAATCATCTCATCAAATCAGTAAAGACAGTAAACCAGCCGTTAAAACTTAAAACAATTAGTACACTTCCATTAAACAGCTATTGTCGCAGGATCATGTCGACAAAGTTTAGTGGGTTTATTTTTGCAACTATACTTCCAAGATGGAT